GCGGCCGTTCCGCTGCCCCGCCTGCCCCAAGGCTTTCGCCGTGGCCGCGTACCTGCAGCGGCACCTGCGCACACACGGGACCGGCTCGTGTCACCGCCGCCATCGTCACCGCTGCGCACCTGAGCGGGGGGACGCGCCCGCCGCCGGACACGCCCGCGGGGTGTACCTGCTGCTGCTTCCTGCAGGTGGTGGTGGGGCGCAGAGCAAGGTGCTGCTGCTGCCGGCTGCGCCTGGACACGCCCAGATGGGACACGCCCAGATGGGCCACACCCAGCTGGGCCACGCCCAGATGGGACATGCCCAGATAGGAAACGCCCAGATAGGCCATGCCCAGACGGGTCACGCCCAGATAGGACACGCCCAGATAGGACACGCCCAGATGGGACACGCCCAGATAGGCCATGCCCAGATAGGACACGGCCAGACAGGCCACGCCCAGATAGGACACGCCCAGCCAGGCCACGCCCAGATGGGACACGCCCAGATAGGCCACGCCCAGATAGGACACGCCCAGATAGGACACGCCCAGATAGGACACGCCCAGCCAGGCCACGCCCAGCCAGGCCACGCCCAGACGGGACACACCCAGATAGGACACGCCCAGATAGGACACACCCAGCCGGGTCACGCCCAGATAGGACACGCCCAGATAGGACACGCCCAGATAGGACACGCCCAGATAAGTCACGCCCAGACAGGTCACACCCAGCTGGGCCACGCCCAGATAGGACACACCCAGACAGGCCACGCCCAGATAGGACACGCCCAGCCGGGTCACGCCCATCCAGGCCACGCCCAGGCGCACCTGGCGCAGGTGGGAGGGGGGCGGAGCACCTGGCAGGGAGTGCTGATTGTACCTGGGGAAGGGGCGGGGCTGAGGCTGCAGGTGGCGGAGGTGGCGGGTGTGACAGGTGTCACTGGTGTCACTGGTGTAGGTGTGACTGGTGTCACTGGTGTAGGTGTGGCAGGTGGGACAGGTGTCACTGGTGTCACTGGTGTAGGTGTGACTGGGGTGACAGGTGTAACTGGTGTGACAGGTGTGGGTGTGACTGGTGTCACTGGTGTGACAGGTGTGGGTGAGGCAGGTGTGACAGGTGTAACTGGTGTGGCAGGTCTGGCAGGTGGAACAGGTGTAGGTGTGACTGGGGTCACAGGTGTGACAGGGGTGACAGGTGTCACTGGTGTCACTGGTGTAGGTGTGACTGGTGTCACTGGTGTCACTGGTGTAGGTGTGGCAGGTGTGACAGGTGTTACAGGTATGGGTGTGACTGGTGTAACTGGTGGGGCAAGTGTGACAGGTGTCACTAGCGTAGGTGTGACTGGGGTCACTGGTGTCACGGGTGTCACAGGTGTAGGTGTGACTGGTGTGGCAGGTGGGACAGGTGTGGATGGGGTCACAGGTGTGACAGGTGCAGGTGGGACAGGTGTGGCTCGTGTGGGCGGGACAGGTGTAGGTATCACAGGTGGGACAGGTGGGACAGGTGCAGGTGGGACAGGTGGGACAGGTGTAGGTGTGACTGGTGTCACAGGTGTCACAGGTGTGACAGGTGTGGGTGGGATAGGTGTGGCTGGTATAGCTGGTGTGGGTGGGACAGGTGTGACAAGTGCAGGTGTGACAGGTGTGGCAGGTCTGGGTGTGACAGGTGGGACAGGTGTGCAGCTCCAGGTGTTGCCAGCAGCCCCAGAGGTGACCAACGTGCAGGTGCAGGCCAGGGAGGTGACAGGTGTGGCAGGTGTGGGTGTGACAGGTGTCACAGGTGTGACAAGTTTGGGTGGGACAGGTGTGACTGGTGTAGGTGTCACAGGTATGGGTGTGACAGGTGTCACAGGTGTGACAAGTTTGGGTGGGACAGGTGTGGGTGTCACCGGTGTGCAGCTCCAGCTGCTGCCGCTGCCCTCGGAGGTGACCAATGTCCAGCTCCAGGCACTGTCACCACCCCCCCAGGTGACCAATGTCCAGCTCCAGGTGCTGCCACCCCCACCTGAGGTGACCAATGTCCAGCTCCAGGTGGTGCCACCACCCCCAGGTGTCACCAACGTTCAGCTCCAGGCACTGTCACCACCCCCCCAGGTGACCAATGTCCAGCTCCAGGCCACCGAGGTGACCAATGTCCAACTCCAGGTGGTGCCACCTCCACCTGAGGTGACCAATGTCCAGCTCCAGGTGGTGCCACCTCCACCTGAGGTGACCAATGTCCAGCTCCAGGTAGTGCCACCTCCACCTGAGGTGACCAATGTCCAGCTCCAGGTGCTGCCACCTCCACCTGAGGTGACCAATGTCCAGCTCCAGGTGGTGCCACCTCCACCTGAGGTCACCAATGTCCAGCTCCAGGTGATGCCACCACCTCCAGGTGTCACCAATGTCCATCTCCAGGCAGGTGAAGTGACCAATGTCCAGCTCCACGTGGTGCCACCCCCGCCTGAGGGGACCAATGTCCAGCTCCAGGTGGTGCCACCCCCACCTGAGGTGACCAATGTCCAGCTCCAGGTGGTGCCACCACCCCCAGGTGCCACCAATGTTCAGCTCCAGGTGCTGCCACCCCCACCTGAGGTCACCAATGTCCATCTCGAGGCCACCAAGGTGACCAATGCCCACCTGGACCCCATGGAGGTGACCAGTGTCCACCTGGGAGCTGCTGAGGAGGTGCTCGATGTCCCCCTGGAGGTGCCCGATGTCCACCTGGAGACCACGGAGGTGACCAACGTCCACCTGGAGGTGTCCAGTGTCCACCTGGAGACATCAGAGGTGCCCAGTGGTCACCTGGAGACCACAGAGGTGACCAATGTCCACCTGGAGATGTCAGAAGTGGCTTCTGACCACCTGGAAGCCACTGAAGAGGTGACCAGTGCCCACCTGGAGGTGCCCAATGTCCACCTGGAAGTACCTGATGCCCACCTGGACACGTCAGAGGTGACCAATGTCCACCTGGAGCCTCCTGAAGAGGTGACCAATGTCCACCTGGAAGTCCCTGAAGAGGTCACCAATGTCCACCTGGAACCTGTGGAGGTGCCCGGTGCCCACCTGGACACCTTGGAAGTGACCAATGTCCACCTGGACCCATCCTAGGAAGTGCCCAGTGCCCACCTGGAGAACACAGAGGTGACCAATGCCCACCTGGAGGTGACCAGTGCCCACCTGGACATTTCAGTGGTACCCAGTGTCCACCTGGAGGTGACCAGTGCCCACCTGGAGCTGACCAATGCCCATCTGGAGGTGACCAGTGCCCACCTGGAGCCCCCCAAGGAGGTGACCAATGTCCACCTGGAGGTGACCAGTGCCCATCTGGAGACCACAGAGGTGGCCAATGCCCACCTGGACATTGCCCACCTGGAGGTGCCCAGTGCCCACCTGGAGGTGACCAATGCCCACCTGGAGGTGTCCAATGCCCACCTGGACACACCTTGGAGGTGACCAGTGCCCACCTGGACACATCAGAGGTGACCAATGCCTACCTGGACACACCCTGAAGGTGACCAATGCCCACGTGGACATGTCAGAGGTGCCCAGTGCCCACCTGGAGGTGACCAGTGCCCACCTGGACACATCAGAGGTGACCAATGCCCACCTGGACATACCTTGGAGGTGACCAATGCCCACCTGGAGGTGACCAATGCCCACCTGGACACATCAGAGGTGACCAATGCCCACCTGGAGACCACAGAGGTGACCAATGCCCACCTGGAGGTGACCAGTGCCCACCTGGACACATCAGAGGTGACCAATGTCCACCTGGAGGTGACCAATGCCCACCTGGACACATCAGAGGTGACCAATGTCCACCTCTCACCTGTGCCCACGTGAGGGGGCGGGGCCTGTCCAGGTGTGGGCGGGGCCTGTCCAGGTGAGGGCGGGGCCTGTCCCAGTGTGGGAGGGGCCTGTCCTGGTGGGGGCGGGGCCTGTCCCGGTGTGTCCCCTCCC